GGAAACTTTATTCAACAGGGTTTCTGCTGAACAATTAAACTTTCCAATGTTTTATCTTTGATACAGATTTATTTGGTATCCCAACTTCAACCCTCATGGACAAAATTGGCTGCAGCCTTCTTCCACAAATGTTCAGGTGGACTTGAATCGCAGCTCATAGAAGGCCACCTCAGAATGCTCCACTGTTTTTGCTCTTTGCTAGGGCTGGGTGTTTCATCATTCTGTTGCACGACCATGACCTGTGATTGACCAAGCTTTCTCACATGGCGCAGCCCATTTCTCTCTAGGATGGCTTGATAGTCTTGAGATTTCATTGTATCCTGGAGAGATTCAACACACATTGTGCCAGATCTAGCAAAGCAGCCCCAGGACATAAAGGAGACGCCTCCATGTTTCACAGTAGGGACAGTGTTCTTTTCTTGGTATGCTTCATTTTTTCATCTGTGAACGCAGAGCTGATGAGCCTTACCAACATTTTTAAAAATGATTGACTTTCAACAGTGGTGTCCTCTTTGGTTATCTTCCATGAAGTCCACATTGACTCAAACAATGACGGGTAGCGCAATCTGATTCTAATGTACCTTGATTTGGAGTTCCCCTTTAATTTCTTTGGAGGATGTTCTGGGTACTTTTCTTACCATTCATGTTATCTGCCACTTCAATTTGTCATGAATTTTGCTTCTGCGATCACATCCAGTAAAATTGTATAAAGTCCCGTGAATTTTTAATGTCTGAATATCTTTACCTTAACATGCTTGACTATAATTTTCTTTTTAATTTCTGGTGAAAACTCTCTGCTTTGCGTAATCTGGTCCGTGTTCAGTGCAGTACACACCATGTAGCCAAACACCACAGTTACTACTTGTCCTCCTTTAAATAGGCCGACTGACTGTTTACAAGTTTGAAGACACCCGTGATGCTAAGTAGAGAGGCACACCTTGTTTGAAAATGTCCTTATATTTGTATAATTTTCAATCTTCTCTAGGCGTACTTTCATTTTTATACATGCCCGATTGATGAGTTTATTTTTAAAAATAATTCCACTGAACCATAATTCAAAAGCAATGTCCGCTTCTCATTGGTTAATTTTCATTACATTTTCATTTATTATTATTTCAGTATCGGAGGGGTGCCAAACATTTTGTCCACATGTGCAGTTCCATGACGACTTATCATACAAGTGAAAGGTTTGATCAAAGTTAGAATCTTTACACTTTCCAAAGTGATTAAAATATTGTGACACTGAAATTTAGGCATTTTGGAAAAATACATTTTGTACATCCCCTCTGTGAGCTGTCACCTTACCGTGGTGGATGGTTTTGTGTGTCCCAATGATCCGAGGAGCTGAATTGTCTGAGGCTTTATGCCCCTGGCAGGATCACCCATGGCAAACAGGTCCTAGGTGAGGGACCAGGCAAAGCAGGGCTAAAAAAATACCCTAATGATGAATGACAAATATGGACCTCAGTTTCCCTTGCCCGGACACAGGTCACTGGGGCCCCCCTCTGGAGCCAGGCCTGGGCAATGACAGTGAGCCCTGGAAGGGCGATTGGGAGGACCCCCCCACCCCCGCCAGATCAGAACTCGAGTGGTGTTTTTTTTTTTTATTGTTCGACTTCTGTGCTCGTCACGGATTGTCCAAAACGAACACCTTATTCAAACGCAAGGGTGTCCATATGTGCACTTGGCACCAGGACACCAGGCCACAGTTGGATGATTTACTTTGTGGTTGTATTATCGGATTTGCGCCCGAATGTTCACTCGGGTGAAGAGAGGGGCAGAGCTGTCAACTAATCGCCACCTGTTGGTGAGTTGGCTCCGATGGTGGGGGAAGATGCTGGTCCAACCTGGCAGACAAAAACGTATTGTGAGGGTTTTTTGGGAGCGTCTGGCGGAATCCCCTGTCAGAAGGAGTTTCAACTCCCACCTCCGGCAGAGCTTTTCCCGCGTCTCGGGGGAGGCGGGGGACATTGAGTCTGAGTGGACCATGTTCCGTGCCTCTATTGTTGAGGAGGCCAATCTGAGTTGTGGTTGTAAGGTGGTTGGTGCCTGTCGTGGCGGCAACCCCCATACTCGCTGGTGGACAGCGGCAGTAAGGGATTCCGTCAAGCTGAAGAAGGAGTCTTATCGGGGCTTTGTGGCCTGTGCAATCCCAGAGGCAGCTGATGGGTATCGACTGGCTAAGTGGAACGCAGCTTCAGAGGTCACCGAGGCAAAAATTCGGGCGTGGGAAGAGTTCGGTGAAGCCATGGAAGCCGACTTCCCGACAATTTCGAGCAAATTCTGGTCCATCATCCGACGTCTGAGGAGGGGGAAGCAGTGCACCATTAACACTTTGTACAGTGGGGACGGGATGCTGGTGGCCTCAACTCGAGACGTTGTGAGTCAGTGGGCAGTAGGGTGGTCCATTTTGGAAAAGTTTGTCGGATTCGTCGGGCCGGGTCGGAAATCTTGTCGATACTATGACACAAGGATGTGTGCAAAATTTTATTCCGATCGGATAATTTTATCCCGTCCCGCAGAGCGACCAAAGTTTCCCCTATGGAAAGAATGTTACGGGGCTGAATGGTAGTACGGTTTCTCCCGTACAGTAAGGATTTTGTTTTGCTCAGTTCGCACTTGCAATAATTCAAAGACGGAAGACAGGAACGCATGTATTGCAAAAAAGGCAACCGTGGTGATCCTGCAACACTGGTGAGATTGTTGGTCCATGTTAACTGGTCCATCTATCTATCTGTCCATCTGTCTATAATGGCCATCAACACTAGTGACACTGTTAGACCGCAAAAAAAAACGAAATCCGCCGTGCGTGCCATCCCATGCCTACTTCGCGCACGGGTGCAACGCCCGGTGTCGCTCCACGACCTGCAGAAGGTGCTGTCGCTGTTCCTCGTCGCGCGTAATGGCGCCGCAGAACGCGCTGATGAGGGCGACGCCCCTCTCCGCAAAAAAAGCGTCCTCAGCTCAGCGTCCAGTAAGAATTCCGGCGATTCTCGACTTCAATTGAAAGATATTAGCTCGCCAGTAGGTGACCGTTGTGTGTTAGGCGTGCGTTTGAGTTTGTCTCCGGCTGCTGAGAGCAGCGATGGAATGGTTAGTTAGTCAGGAGGTGATCGTTCGGGCAACATTCAGCCCAGCCAGTGTCACGCATGGCAAAATACACGGTTAAAATACACATGTTCACCCTATTGAGACCAGTTGTTATGGTGGAAACTTTGGCCGCTTTGCGGGACGGGAAAATATCATCAGATCGGAATGAAATTTTGCACAGAACCTTGTACCATAGTATCGACAAGAATTCCGACCCGGCCCGACGAATCCGACAAACTTTTTTTTTTGCCATGAAAATGTGGACCACCCTAGTGGGCAGAGTACTTTGAAGACCTCCTCAACTCCACCAACATGCCGTCCTTGGGGGAAGCAGAGTCTGAGGACTCTGAGGTGGGCTCTCCTATCTCTGGGGTTGAAGTCACCGATGTGGTTAAAAAGCTCCTCGTGGCAAGGCCCCAGGGGTGGATGAGATCCGCCCGGAGTTCCTCAATGCTCTGGATGCTGTGGGGCTGTCCTGGTTGACATGCCTCTGCAACAAAGCGTGGACATTGGGGAGAGTGCCTCTGGAGTGGCAGACCGGGGTGGTGGTCCCTCTTTTTAAAAAGGGGCACCGGAGGGTGTGTTCCGAGAACAGAGGGATCACACTCCTCAGCCTCCCTGGTAAGGTCTATTCAGGGGTGCTGGAGAGGAGGGTCCATTGGGGAGTCGAGCCTCAGATTCAGGAGGAGCAGTGTGGTTATCGTCCTGGCCGTGGAACAGTGTACTAGCTCTACACCCTTAGCAGGGTCCTCCAGGGTACATGGGAACTCGCCCAACCAGTCTACATGTGCTTTGTGGACTTGGAGAAGGCTTTCGACCGCATCCCTCGGGGAGTTATGTGGGGGGTGCTTCGGGAGTATGTGGTACTGAACTCCCAGATGCGGGCTGTTCGGTCCCTATACAGGACCACCAATGTCAGAGTTTGGTTTGCATTGCCGGCAGTAAGTCGGAATCGTTTCCAGTGAGGGTTGAACTCCGCCAAGGCTGCACTTTGTCGCCGATTCTGTTCAGAACCTTTATGGACAGAATTTCTAGGCGCAGCCGAGGTGTTGAGGGGGTCCGGATTAGTGGCTTCAGTATTGCATCTCTGCTTTTTGCAAATGATGTGGTAATGTTGGCTCCATCAAGCAGGGCTCTCCAACTCTCACTGGAGTGTTTTGCAGCCGAGTGTGAAGCAGTTGGGATGAAAATCAGCACCTCCAAATTTGAAACAATGGTTCTCAGTCGGAAAAGGATGGAGTGCCCTCCCCGGGTCGGGGAGGAGATCTTGCCCCAAGTGGAGGAGTTTAAGTATCTTGGGGTCTTGTTCACGAATGGGGGCAGGAGGGAGCGAGAGATCAACAGGCGGATCGGTGCAGCGTCTGCTGTGATGCGGACTTTGTATCGGTCTGTCATGGTGAAGACGTTGCTGAGCCAAAAGTCGAAGCTCTCAATTTACCGGTCGATCTACGTCCCAACCCTCATCTATGGTCACGAGCTATGAGTTGTGACCGAAAGAACGAGATCCCGGACCCAAGCGGCCGAAATGAGTTTTCTCCGCAGGGTGTCCGGGCTCTCCCTTAGAGATAAGGTGAGAAGCTCGGTCATCCGGCAGGGGCTCAGAGTCGAGCCGCTTCTCCTCCACGTCGAGAAGAGGTGGCTCGGGCATCTGATTAGGATGTCGCCTGAACGCCTCCCTGGTGAGGTTTCCCTCACCGGCAGGAGGCCCCGGGGACGACCCAGGACACGCTGGAGAGACGGTGTCAACCAGCTGGCCTGGGAACGCCTCGGGATCCCCAGGAAGAGCTGGAAGAAGTGGCTGGGGAGATGGAAGTCTGGGCTTCCCTGCTAAAGCTATTGCCCCCGCGACCCGACCCTGGATAAGCAGTCGAAAATGGATGGATGGATGGACATTTTGGACATTTTTTTTTATATTAAATTGTATAGATAATAAAGAACCTTTCCGTGTACCCTGAAAAGACCTTATGGCATGTTCAGAGCAGCAAAGTGGCATGAGTACATGTTGATCTGATCAGAGCACATTGCTTTTGTTGACAGTATGAGTATGGACATGGTCCTATGCTAAATCTCATTTGGAGAAACAACAGTTCATAAAGTCTGAAATACAGTATGAAAAATTATGTCAGATGTGTACACACATTTGCTTTAAAAAAGTAATTTCGTGCAACAAACTAACAAACAAGCAATTGTGTCGGTTCAATAAGTTGTTCAAAGAGCAGACTTTGCATATCAAGCCCAATTTGTTCGCCTAAATTGACTGTGTTATTATTCATGTTCCATAATGCAATTTAGAAATCTCTCTCCTTTTGTTACTAGTAGTTCACCAATGCGTAACACACTTTCTATAACACCTGGAAAGCAAGATTAGGTGCAAAGTCATCATTTTAGTTACAGAGTGAAAAAGTGGGTTTCTCCAAATTTAAGTACTGGTGAGGTGAAGAGTGGGGTATGTTTTTTTTTTTTCAATTCAAATATCTACTTCACAACCTCAAAGGCCACTCTGAAAAACAAAAAATAGAAAAGAACTGCGTAAAAACACAATACTGTATTGGGTAGTATTCAAGATGGCTTTTCTTTGTTGCCAGACGGGGCTTTGCGTATACTCCACATCCTCTTTTCATGGGTTGCCTGTCTCAAACCACGTGGGGCAACATTTGTCACAAATGTAAACCAGGATCTCCGATATGGCTGTTCGAGAATATATGGCAGTGTCAGGTAAAACTAGCCCGATGGACTTAAATACGCATGCAGGCGAGTTGCATTGGTGCCCAGTAATTGTGAGAGTGTAAATTTCAGGGCGTATTCCAAGGTCATTATGTATCCAAACTCAAGCAAGCATGTATCACCAAGTTGCTGTATTCAAATTGGAAATGGATTTCATTTTCCATCATGCATCAGAAAATCGTAAAAACCTCTTTCTTTATTTCGCTTGTCAAAGCTGTAAAACATGCTACAAGCATTATATTTTTCCTCATATTTATTTTATATATTAGATATACTTTTTAAAAAATGGGTTCTATTGTGTTAAACAAAGATTGGAACCCCCCTACAAAACACTAGAAATCACACTAGCTTCGTTAATTCTCTTATCTTTGTATCTGTTGGTTGTTCAAGAAGACACTTGTTGAGGTGAGGGACTGGTAGGGTAAATGACTGACAACTGAACTGACCAGTTGCCTTTTGGGAGAGGAGCAAGACTCAATGACACAGATGGTCATTGTAGAAGCTAGTCACAGGCGTTTGTCTTATTAACCTGGCCTACTCAAAAAAAAAAAAACTAAACAAAACACATTTAACACAACTTTGTAGAACTGTGGTGCCAAGGAACATTGTAATCCAGTATATGTTTGTGCAGATCTGGATTAAGGTGCACTTTCACTTCATGATGTTTGACTCACTATGGCATCAATGGGTAAATCCACCCTTGAATCAAAAGAGCAACATCCTCCTGTTTGTAAACCCCAACATCATCCGTGAATGTGGAAATTGCTCGCTAACTCACAAACTAGTGGAAACAACGTATTCATGGTTGGAGTGCGATAGGAGGTGTGTTGTCCACAGGGCGAGCAGCAGAGAGGCCAGATGATATCAGACGCTCAAATTGCGTGGATTAGTGTGCATGGTGTAACTGAGATTGCTCTACTTATTTTGTACTGTGGTCGCCCCAACTCTCAGTGACACTGGAGTCGGTCTTTCTTTCCGATTATGTTCATGTTCCCTATGAATGGGATTATCTTCCGTGTTGTCCACTTAAAATGTGCTGTCCCAAGCTGCTTTTTATCTACTAAGAACATCATCTGTTCATCTTCCTCGTCCGTCATCCTTCAATGGCAGATATTCCTGACAAATGCAGGTGGCTAATCTAAGAGTCTTCCTCCCCTGTGGAGACAGCCAATCGCATGGCCACAGGCAGATGATCCGTGAGGCCAGCCAACTGTGTGACAAAGCTGAACTCCTCTATTTCCTGGAAAGGAAGGAAGGAAGGAAGGAAGGTCATGATGCTGAATCATTCAAAGTGTCGTGTCTTTTCAGGCAGCCGTTTTGTTCAGATAGAGCAGGGCGGGCCAAAACTCAAACCACACTTCAGGCCAGGGATAAACATTTATGCAACAGACTGAAACGCAATGTTTTTGAGCAGAAACCGGACTCAAAACAGATAATCGTTTTCAAAACGAATCGACTTGAACTTGTCTCCTGACAAATATCTGTCAACAACATTCAGTAAAAATACCTGAAAATATACAAATAAATGGTGCTTTACAGTTAAAGGTAAAATAATGAATCAAAACAAGTCATTTTCTTTGAGCTTGTGCCATTCTGTCAGAGCTGGAAACTTGGTGTCTTTTCTTGACAACAGGTTTGATTATGTTGGGGAGAAAGTTCGGTAGGGCGGCACGGTAGGCAACTAGTTAACAGGGTTCGATTCCAGCTCCGGCCTTCCTGTGTGGAGTTTGCATGTTCTCCCCATGCCTGCGTGGGTTTTCTCATGGTACTCAGGTTATCTCTCACATTCCAAAAACGTGCACCATAGGTTAATGGAACATTCTAAATTGTCCCTAGGTATGACTGTTAAGTACGAATGGTTGTTCGTTGAACTGTGCCCTGCCTTTGGTTGGCAACCATTTCAGGGTGTACCTGGCCCACTGCCCGATAATGGCTGGGTAAGGCTCCAGCACACCCGCGAACCTCGTGAGGAGAAGCGGTTCGGAAAATGGATGGATGGATGGAAAGTTCTGTGTTGTACAGAATCTCAGGGCGGAGTGCAAGTGCGCAGTGAGGCCACGATGTGATGTTTTGTTCATTTTCATCACAGAGGAGAGAATCAGTGGTGGTCAGCACCAGCACACGGGCACATGCACACATGCATGCACGCACAATGAAAGGATGGAATTGTCCATAGATGAGTAGGGAGCGGTGGCAATGATCCTGATGGATTAACCATTTTGATACGCATGAATGAAGACGAAAACAATTATAATTGCTTGAAATCAAAGAAAACATTTCAGTTTCTATGTAGTGTTTGGGGCGGCAATTGCCTGTTTTATTATTATTATTATAATTTTTTGCTTAATGGCAAGGAACACCTTTGTGAGGCAGAGTAATATCTTCCTCATTTTGTGCTTTTTATCTTCATACGATCATCAATACTAAGCATTTATCCACTCGTTCATTAATCGTCTATGCCGCATAAAGCCACTAAGGTAGCGAAAGGTAACGTAAATGCTGAATACATTAATTTTACATGAACTATGTAAAATTAGTGTGCATATTAAAAGTGACCGTTTACTGGGAGGTGCTTCGCTAGCCAGGAATTTGACTTATAGGCGCAAGACGTTTTGTGTCAAACGTGATAGGCAGTCATACTTGCCATCTTCTTTCAACACGGTGGGCATACAGTCATTATGTTGTGGCTTGTTGGTTGAAACAAAAACGCAAAACGAATCATGAAATGTAGACTTAGGTTTTTTTTGCAGGGCCACTCAAAACAGATGGAGTCACTGATGCGAATGGAATTTACAATCACCATGTTCTGACACAAGGGGGCATCATGTGATGGGTTTTCTAAAAACAAACATATTTTACAATGTGAGAGGATTCCAGTTTATGAGATTTTATTATTCACCCTTCTAGCTTTCTGACATATTTAAATTTGTAGTTATCAATTTCGCCTGGGAGGACAGCAATTCTCGATGAACAAATGAAGGACTGCAGGCCTTTGATGGGATCAATTGAGGCAACCATCCCATCTCGGATGGTTGCCTCAATTGAAGAAGGTAGATTGTGATTTTATACAAAAGTATAATTGAAGACTGAACAAAACAGGGGGTCAAACGTGTGTGGTATCTCTTTTCAGTGCAATTGATGCCTTTGAAGATTTTTTTTTTAGGATCCAATTAAATTCCAAGAGACAATTTAAATGTTTTTTTTAAATTGGAATTTGACATCTCTTGACGTAGTTATTCATGCAACCATTGTCATTCAACATCAGCCAAAGATGTCATTTAAAATTGATGTCGGCTTATGACACAAATTGCCACGGAAAATCAAAGACAACCATAAGAGGAAGAATACAATTTGTAAATTCGTTGCGACGATAGCTTTTTACACATGTAACGATAAGCAACACACCATTAATTAAAACAGCGGCACAGCTATTTTGCTTGTGAAAACGGAGACTTTTGGGGTACAGGTGCGCGATTTGTGAAAATGTTTCTGAACACTGACTTGACTGTAATATTGTTCCTAAGCCATACCAATTTCCAATCCTGTTGCAGGCCCTCGTCACTGTACAAGATGTAGTCAATCCGGCGTCCGTTGCCTTTCAGTGGAATGTTTCTTCCCTTCTGGCTCTTGGAGGGACAATGGCTTTTACTGGGAGGAAACACCAGGTACTCCTTTCTGCCCTCCTCATTCTCCATCACTCTAAATTGATACAACAGAGATGAAACATGTTTGGTGAACATTTACTACAGAGGAAGATGCTCCATCCAAACACAAGAAATGTCACGGATGAAGCTACAATATTTGCAGCAAAATGGAGTGCCTACCAGATTGGCAATCCGTATCTAGCTGTATAACTGTATTATTATTATTTTTTTTTATTTACAAAGACAGTATATTGGTTAATACCGTATTTTCCGCACTTTTTTTCATGAAATGAAAATATATATAGCATAGATTCACAGCAACCGGGAGGATACATCATGCAACTTTTCTGCAAAGTATCCAATGGATCGCCAAAGCGTGGGCTTCAGCGACAACCAAGACCATCTTGTCTGGATTCAGAAAGACTGGAATAACTGGAACTGGAACCGATTTTGAGTCTGACGACAGCCATGTAATGAGGACGAAGTATTCAACGGATTTAGTGAGTTGGAGTGAGAATTATTAATGAGGATAAAATTGGTTTGTTCTCTATGCTATAGTTACGTAAAAATGTTCATTATGTTACATTAAGGCGGCCTGGTGGTCTAGTGGTTAGCGTGTCGACCTCACAGTGCAGAGGTCGTGGGTTCGATCCGGGCTCCAGCCTTCCTGTGTGGCGTTTGCATGTTCTCCCCGGGCTTGCGTGGGTTTTCTCCAGGTACTCCGGTTTCCTCCCACATTCCAAAAACATGCATGGCAGGCTGATTGAACACTCAAAATTGTCCCTACGTGTGAGTGTGAACGTGGATGGTTGTTCGTCTCTGTGTGCACTGCAATTGGCTGGCAACCGGTTCAGGGTGTCGCCCGCCTACTGCCCAAAGACAGCTGGGATAGGCTCCAGCACCCCCCGCGACCCTTTTAAAATAAAGCGGATCGGAAAATGAGTGAATGAATGAATGAATGAATGTTACATTAATACTGGACACCTTTTCTATGAATGGTTATTTTTCATGCAGCTGAATAACCTTCAATCTTATGTTTTTTCTTTATTCCTTTATTAATGTTAGAACTTGCCTCCCAAGATTAAATGTCTGTTTTTGATCTCGTATTTTATAGAATAAATTACTCACAAAAATGCGACTTATGTTTTTTTCGACCTCATTCTGCATTTTTGGGCTGGTACGAATTATACTCTGGAGTAATTTATAGTCCGGAAAATACGGTACTTAATTGTACAACCAGATAACTATTGCTCATGGTCCTAACCATTTCAAAAAAACATTGACATTCGGACAAAAACATGGCAAAATCAATGACTTACTTTTGTAAACTTTCCGGTGAACTGACCTCATCGTCGTAAAGGCCACTGGGATCCAGCAGTGTACCTTTTCAATGGTAGTGAAGAAACACATCACAGTACTTCAGCATACAGGCAAAGAGCACAGTGTCAGAAAAATTTATTATTATTATTATTTTGTTAAGTAGTCTTCTTTGTAATATATTACTCCTTGAAATGACCCATGTGTAAAAGAAATAAAAGTCATACTATGTAATTTGGTAACATTCTTTCATTTTGCTCATCACCTGTAGTTGTTCTTGCGTGAACTTTCTTGTCATGATCCTGATCTTGTGTGTCTCCAGCAGGTGGCAGAGAAGGGCTTTCCCTCCAGTGTGCACGACTGCTGCCAGTATGTTAATCAAGTGAAGGCATGCATTTAAGGAGATCCTATGTGCCAAGTCTCTGTTGGATTATTGACCTTGTTTGCTGCTCATGCCCAAGTGTTATTTTCTAGACCTCTTTATCTCATCACTGTCGTTTTTGCTCTCTCGTCTCTCGCTTTATCAATATTTATATTGTCTTTGATCTTTTTTGTTTTGTGAAATTGGACTCTAGTCATTTCGTTTATATTCTCGGATTGCAGTGAAACTCCTCTAAAACGAAATCATGTTTGCAACAAGAAAATTTTCACAGTATATATGTGTACTCTTTATTTTTATTCCAATAGTGCATAAGTATGAGCATACACTTATTTGACACTTCATATAGCCAGTGTAGAAAGAAAAAAAACGGGAAAGAAATTGCGAAATTTGTGATCAGCATTTACTTTCACTTACATCAATTTCTTGCATAATGGCTTTTACTTTGCTTCCACCATCTTTCATTTTGATCACTTTTCCCCTGTCTTCAAGTGTCAGCCATTCTTTTCTTAACTCCTTGGCATGCAAAGGTCCGTTTTGTAGCCATTTTAGCAATACAATGTTCGTGCCGCATCTGAAACTAACAATAACAAATAGTTCCTGTACTACTGCGCATGTGTGAACCAGTGTGGTGGTTGCTGTTGCTGTTTGGGAGCGAAGCAGTAGGAGTCGCTGTGGCAGGCTGAGGTCAGATTAGACTTTTACGGAAGGCTTGTTTTTGTTGTAGTGAACCTCATTGCGAGGCAAGGGCAGAGAAAAAGATTTCGTAAAACACAACAGGGGGACTTTTCATTGTAAGTGGAGCAGAAAAGTGGGAATGGCTTTCATGCATGAAGATTTTTTCACACTAGGGAGTATTTTCGCCCATGGAAGTTACATTCTAGACTAGAGTATTTCACTATAACTATTTCCTTGCCTTTGCAAGTGCTTTTTGTGAATATCTTGTTTTTCCTTGTTCTTTTTGACCAGCAATTTCTGTTCGAACCTTGTTGGTGGCGCTTTGGTTATTAAATAAATATTTTTTGAACTGATTTTTTTGGTGTGTCTACATTTGTGGGATCTGATCGTCATTCAGTTCGTTCCCGAACTGTGTTATTTCTTGAATCCCACAAGGGCACCCAAATGACATAACACTTCTCGGAATATAGTTTGACTCAGTGGTAGATTACAGTAGCACACCTGCAACCATAATGTGGACAGGCGCTAAGAAACTGGATTCATGGGGAAATAACCCCCCCGTCCCCCGAGAAAAAAATTTGACTCATGCTTGTCCATCACACAATATCACATCTACAAAAATAGGTCCTCAGTGAAGAAAGACAAATTGTTCCTGAAATATGGTTGACCTGAATGACACTTCCTTTTCAGACCAAATCCTTTGGCTACTACGCCACAAATGCCCATGCACCATCACTCGGCGAGATGGATTTCCGTTTAAGAAGTGGGGGCACGGCAATTCAACCCAAGAGCCAGATTTCACGTTATTCTGCTTGACTTACATTGTTTCTATCAAACATGGATTTATCTTTATATATTGTGTGTGTGTGTGTGTGTGTGTGTGTGTGTGTGTGTGTGTGTGTGTGTGTGTGTGTTACCCAGAGCCCATGGTTTGTCCTCTCCTGGCCCCTGGCGACACGGGTCCTTGTATATAGAAAAAAGTGCATGTTGTTGTTCCAACTTGTCTTCTGGGGGAAACAAAAACATTACAAACACATATTCAGATTGACCTGAAGTGGGAGTCCAACATCAACCACATCCTCAAAAAGGACCACAGAGATGATACTTTCTGTGGGGAAAGCACGGCCTGTGACAGGAGCTGTTGAGGCATTCATTGAATCAGTTCTTTGTTCTTACATCCCATATGGTCACTGGAAAAAACAGCCGTGTCTCCGTTCCCACTGGGAGGCTGCAAGTACTCACAAATGGGCAAACAAAGTCTTCTCGGACTCATCTCGCACTGTACGCCGCCATTTCCGACCCCTTTTCTCGAGTAGGGCTGTTGAACGCTGCACGCCAAAGCCAACAGACATTCGAACAACTTCTTTCCCCTTGTCATTAACTTCTCAAAGAATCGACTTGTTTGGTAATTGCAACATTTTGTCAAAATTTTGCACACTTGTGTTGTATGATGATAGCATTGACAATTTGCCCTAATTTTTGCACACATCTGTGATCTGCATTCCATTGCCATGTTGAATAAGTCCTCCATTCTGTGCACTATTGAAAATTCCTTCAAGCGGAAATCAAGTCAAAAAAATTCTGAACAATATTATGTGCCCCCACCAGTCCAAACATTTCCTTATTAATGTTGCATTTGTGGAGTATGAATTAAGCATAAAAATCCTTCCGCTTTTATCCATCTCAGGGGGTTGTCATTTTGCTTCGCAATCCCACTTGCTATCAACTGAAAATGACATCACAGTGCTCAAGGGCTCGGCATGCGAATGTCACGTGACAAAACCCAGAAAACAGGCTCTCCATACAAAATTTTAACTAAGCAGCCCTGGCTGTAAATGTAAAATTGGAAGGCATACAGTCTGTAACATTTAAAGACCTACAAAAAAAAGTCTCTTGGAGCCATACACTAAATCCAACACTAAGTCTGCCATTTTAATTTCCTTTTAGTGATTGTCACAGCTCACCTGCTTTCTGGGCTTGGTCACATGACGTTTGCAAGATGAGCCCTTGGCACTGTGCTCTCATTTTCAGTTGACAGCAAATGGCAAAATGGCCGCCCCTTGAGATTGATTAAAACGTTTGGATTTTTCTGCTTACTTAATATTTCACAAATGCTATAGTAATCAGAATACCGTGCTCTGACTCGTGGGGGCACATAAAACATTCAATTTTAAAGATAATTTTTCATTTGACTTCTGCCTTCAGGAATTTTCAACACAATCCAATAATTTCAGTTTCAATTTCAATAATAATAATAATAATAAAAAGATTATTTTCAGTTCATTACAACCCATAAAGTTTCTTGAAACACTATTTCATATAATTTGGCATTTTTGAAAAAAAGTACTGTTATTGGGAGGTTTGTTTAAAAACATTCTGATTGCTTCTATTAGTTGATAACTTCAAAACTTTACACACACACACACACACACACACACACACGCACGCACACGCACACGCACGCGCACACGCACACACACACACACACACACACATTTATATAAAATTGTTATGTTATTTGCATTATTATGAAAACCCAATGTGTTAGAGAAAAAAAGGAGGACAGATCATGAATTAGTGAAAAAACCCCAAAACAAAACAGAAAATTTTATTGCATGTCTGATAAAAAAAAAGGCAGGTCCTTTCGCAAAATGGTTTGATTTTAACCTGAATTCATACCTGAAGAGCAGTTGTCAAAGTTGAGGTCACCCAGAATGACATCAAAGGCCACGAGGTCTTCAAAAATTTTCTCCCCTCCAGAATGATGTGATGAAGCTTGGCGGAACTCCGCACCCCACTGGAGCAACAAGTCCAGCTGTTCGCATCGCACAGAGGCATCACCTGGCCGAAAATACAGTGAAGGAATGGAAACACGGTGTTTTGTCATCAATGTTAACTAACTGATATTGTTTAAAAACGAGGTAAAAAGAAAGGAAAGGAAAACATGGACAAAGACTGGTTCTTATGACCTCAGCAAAATGATAACAGAACCACGTAACTGTCATCTACAGCATAGACAGGATATAGATTGCAAATCTAGATCAGGTTAGACCAATATTAGCCATGCATTTGAACTGCACGGCTTTCTAAACATTTGGGTATTAGAGGTGCAATGTATGTTTGATTCTTCCTTAGCAGACAAAAATAAGGTGCAGACTGTTTTGAACAACAGGAAGTGTTAGATAATAGATAATAGATTATAATTTAACTTAATGCATCCTGTTTTATAGATAAGGGCCTCTCTTTTTCCACTGTATGTAGTTTTGATTTGTCCGATAAATTGGGGATTTATAATACTATGATACTCTTACAAGTGAGAAGAATCAAAATTGGCCTTGACACAAACACCAAACGTGGGCAGAGCAAAACAATCTTCTCCTCTCTGTCCCTGCCATTTACAGGGATATCGAACAGCAAGGTGGAACAAAGGTGCATTAAACCTGAAATCAAGAAGCTGTGGAAAAGTTAATATGTCTGATCAGCCCAGTGTCTGTCTACTCTGGCTCTCTCCTTAAGTCAGTTGGTAGCTATCAATTCCAAAAAACAGACACACACACGAGTCTGGCATTGTTTTGAGACAAACCATCACTGCCCGTATTTCCTGACATCGATTGAATTGCATTAAAGTGCTGCAACATAGCAAGCGGCTGTCCGGTCTGAAATGGCACACAGGCAAGGAATTGGCTCTGAGCATGGTTTGGACAAAACAGCTACTTTAGCTAGCTTTGTCGTCTGGTTTTTCACACACACACACACGCACGCACGCACGCACGCACGCACGCACACACACACACACACGCACACACACCAAACATCGAGAAACAATAATTCGTGGCTCTATTTTCGTGCCCAGCGTAAGTTGAGCGCAAAACACATTCTAACTGTGCACATTGGTGGAGTTTTCTTTTCTTTTGTTATTTATATTGACCATTGAAATAAGAATGATGTGTTTATACTACTGTGTGAATGAACAAAGCCATCTTGTTCACCGGCCAATGGAAGCGGCTTCTCTCACCCTCTTTAAAGTCAGTGCAGGAGTGGTGCGCAGTCTTTGACGTACATGGCTTAAGCAGAAGTTTGCCAAGTACGTTTACCAAGAACTGCCAACAGACCTCCAGTTGTGAATGATGTAAAGTTGGCCAGGGCATTCACAGATCAACACTGTGAAGTGGGCATTTGGAGACCGCCTTCCACCCGTGTGTGACCACTCCCCCTCATATTGCTGTGCTATGGCCCAGGGGGTGGGTTAGTTGAACAAATATAGTAAAGATGATAGTGATACAACCAATTTTGTGTGTGCCTTGCGATTGGCTGGCAACAGATTCAGGGTGTCCCCCACCTACTGCCCAAATACAGCTGGGATAGGCTCCAGCACCCCCCGCACCCTTTGTGAGGACAAGTAGATCGGAGAATGGATGGATGAATGGATGATGATGATGATGATGATAATAACAATGCATTTAATGAATTGATTCCTACAATGATTCATTGGATTTGATGCACGCTGTTGTCATATTTATGAATGAAGTACGATTACATTGATCACACATATCAGTGGACAGCAGAATCTGACTGCCTGTGCCTCAATCAAATTCACCCAAATTTCTTTACAGCACCTGCGTCACAACTCAGACCTGTTTTTGCCTGGTCTAATTTCTATTCTACTGTCTGTCACCAAATTGTCGGGTGTGCTTCAATTATGACATCTCAATTATGGTTAAATGAAATCTAGATTTAACGTATTTTTTGTAATTACTCTACCAAAACTTACCTGAATAATAAATGGGCTTTTACTTGTATAGTCCACCTACAAGGCACTCAAAGCGCTTCCCACTGACTCCTTCTTCACCTACTGACGACGCAGCATCAAGAGCAACTGGGGGTTCATTATCTTACTCAAGGACACTTCAGCATGATCTTGAGGGCCGGAGATCAAAACCACAACCTCTTGGTTGGTAGACGACCACTCTCCCACCTGAGCTATGTCACTCCATCTAAAACATCATTCTTGAGTAAAAGTCAAATAATTATGGAACAGATTTATCCTGTCTCTGATTTTCTTCTGCTATATTAATTTATTCACTTTCTGCTACTTATCCAGTACAGGCTCATGGATGAGCTCGAACCTATCCCAGCTGGCTTTGAGCCAGAGATAATTGGTGACCCTTAACATGATATTTTACAATTACTGAACAAAGTACCGGGTATTAAACATTTTATGTATCCATCCATTTTCGATGCCATTTATCCTCACTCGGTTCATGCGTAAATTGGACCTAAGTAAGCGGCGGGGTAGACACTAAAGTGGGGAA